AATTCAAATCACTCTCAGGTATTGTGCGCGCGTCTGCAGAATAATAGAAAGAGACAATCATATCATACAGCAGGCACTTGAGAGAACGTTTCAATAAAATATATACGCAGGGGTCGTGTGCTGTGCAACGGCGACAGTTAAATATATGCTATATTATTTAACTGTCGCCGTGCACCAGCAACGACCCCTGCGTATATATTTTAAATGAAAGCGTCAAGTGCCTGTGATATATAGGCCGCGAGCTAGCGCGTCGCAATTAACCTGAAGCCTGCAGATGTCGCCATCTATAGTCAACTTAAATAGAATAGAACACTCGATTAAAAGAGTCTCTTGGCGTCTTGTCTAATTCTGTCGACCAGAATCCTCATTTTTATAATAATTTTCGGGTTGGCGTGGAAATGAGCACTGTAGATGGCGCTGCTTCTACAGGCATCGTAAAATAAAAACGGCCAGTCATAGAAACGGCGGAGCCGGTGGATGTCGCTGGGCGCGGGGGGATCCGGGCATGGGCTAAGGTTTCCACGGGTCAATCGAGTGCCATAACTAGCGGAAAATACCTGCAATAAGTCGTAAATCGGCCATTTGTAGTTGCGATCGCCGTTGTAATCTAACGGACGACGGCAAAAGATGACAATGTTTTTGCAATAAAAACGCGGGACCGCCTCGTTAAATAACTTTTACGTACTGGCAAGGGCCTTAAATTCCCCACAGCATAGCAGGCAGCAGAACCGAAGCCGGCCGCAGCAGCAGCGAGCAGTAGGCTGCGAGTAGGCAGCAAGGACACGTAGCAGCAGCGTAGGCAAGTAGTACAGGCTAGCAGCAAGTTAGGTCAGTCAGTAGAGCGTTTAAGTGAGTAGGTAGTAGTAGCAGATAGCGGTAAGGCAGCACTAGCTAAAGTAGGGCAGACAGTAATAAAAGTAATAGCAGCGAGCATAGCAGCAGACTAGTAACCAGCAGCAGCCACTAGGCAGTAGCAGGAAAACGCCATCACCAGCAGGCAGTAGGCACAGAACCGCAGTAGTAGTAGTAAGCAGTAGCAGCAGCAGCAGTAAAGCAGCAGAAAATAGCAGGCGAGCAGAGGTAGTAGTAAGGGCAGCAGCAAGCAGTATAGTCAGGCAGGCAGCAGTATGCCACAGTAGAGCGCCCGTAAGTAAGCAGCACGCAGTAGCAGTAGGTGGCAGGCATAGCAGTAGCAAGCAACAGTAGCAGCAGGGCAACAGCAGCGCCGATGGCAGCGGCGGCGGGGCGCGGCAGCAAAGAGCAGGAGCAGGTAAGCGATAGACACAGGAGCAAGCAAGTAGTAGCAGCAGCAGATAGCAGGGCAGAAACAGCAGCAGTAGCAGGCAGCAGCAGCAGCAGGGCAGGCAGCAGCAGCCGTGGCAGTGGGCAAGCAGTGTATAGTTAGCAGGAGGACAATAGTAGTAGAACACGTAGTAAGGCAAGCAGGGGCAGCAGCAGTAGCACGTAGTATCAGCAGCAGTAGCCAGAACCAGCAAGCAGGCAGCAAAGTAGCAGCCAAGCAGAGGAGCGTGCAAGCAATGGCAGGCAAGCAGCAAGCAGTAGGCAGCACCACCAGCCAGCAGCAGAGCAGCAGCGCAGTAGCAGAATGCATCACCACAGCAGTAGCAGCAGTAGGCAGCAGTAGCGCAGTAGCAGCAGTAGCAGCAGTAGCAGGCAGTAATATAGTAAGGTGAGTAGTAAGTAGTAGTAGTCGCGCGCGAGCCCAGCAGCAGGCAAGCCAGCGGCGGCAGCGGCAGCAGCACGCAACAGTGGCAGTGGGCAGGCAAGTGGGCAGTAGCAGGGAGCAATAAGTAGGGCAGGGCAAGCAGGAGCAATAGTAGCAGACAGCAGACAGCAAGCATGTTAGCAATGCAGTGACTAACAACGCGTCCTGTGATTGAGACGTGTTATTCCGTGATTAAGATCTCATCAGGAGTGAATATGAATAAAGATGTGTTTTTATTCACTTCGGGACCTCATGTATATGAACAGATCTAATCTTGATCCCGGCCGCTATCGATAAATAACGCGATCTCGTTCGCTATTGACTGTCTGGCGACAGATAACGTCTGCGGGCGTCTCTCACGTTTAGCGCGCTAACACTGTCTCAACAAGCGCCATCTATAAGATACTCTTGTTGGTTTTGCGATAGCGAGTTTATTCTGGCACTATATATATACACATGTGTGTGTGTGTGTAGTGTGTGTGTGTGTCGTGTGTTGTCGTAGCGTGGCGTGCAGTGCGTGCGGCGCCTGTGTGTGTGTGTGTGTAGTGTGTAGTGTGATGTGTGTGTGTGTGCGCGTGTGTGTGATGCTCGCGCTCGCGCGCGCAGGCCCGCGCGTGTGTGTGTGGTGTGTTGTGTGTGTGTGTGTGTTTGTGTGTGTGTGTGTTGTGTGTGCGTGCGTGCGTGCGTTGCGTGCGTGCGTGCATCGTGCTGCGTGCGTGCGTGCAGTGTGTGTGTGTGTGTGTGTGGACGTTTGTCTTACAACTGTTTAGCGAC